AAAATTAAATATAATATATATAATTATATAAATTATATATATATAACTAGTTTATAATTATTATATAATATAATTAATAAACTAGATTCTATTAAATTTAGTAGATTTAGAAATTATATATTAATATTATAATATTATAATTCTTATTTCTAAATATTAATTATTCTATTAATTTTATATATTAAATATTTTTATATATATTATATAATAATATTATATATTATTAATAAACTAATATTAGTATATTAAAATTAATAAAATAATTAATATTTTAAAAATTATATAATTATAATTTATATAATTATAATTTATATTTTATATTTTATTATTTATATTTTATTATTTATATTTTATTATTTATATTTTATTATTTATATTTTATAATTAAATATATAACTTCTAAAATAATAATTATATTAATATTAAAACTTTTCTAAAAATATAAAAAATAATATTTTTCTTTAATTATATATTAATTTCCTAATTCGGCCTAGTATTAAATTCTTTTAAATACTTTATATATTTATATATATTTTTTTATTTTATATTTCCATTTTTTCTTATTTAATATATTTATATTTAATTTATTTATATTTAATTTATTTATATTTAATTAATTTATATTTAATTAATTTATTAATATTTAATTTATTAATATTTAATTTATTTATATTTAATTTATTTCTTTATATTTCTTTATATAATATTTATATTAATAATATATTTAAAGATATTTAATAGTTTTAATTTTTATAATCTTCTATATTTAATAAAAATATATTATATTAATTATTAGATATTTCTTTTAAATAATATTTAATTTAATAAGGCATTTATATAATAATTTCGAATTTATATAAATAACTAATAATGATTTAATTTCTAGTATTTTATTAATTATAGATTTAATTAAAGTACTTATATTATATAGTTTTAAAACTAGAATACTTTTAATAACTTTCTTATATTTAATAAAGTACTAGTAAATAAAATTAATATATTTAGTTTTATTTACTAAAACTAAAATATATTTAATTTAGAAAAACAGATTTCTATTATTTATAAATAAAGCATTTATAAAATTAATTAAATATAAAATTAAATTCCGAAATTATAGCTAAATTTATATTAATAATCTTAGAATTAATAATTATTTAAATAATTATTTAAATAATATTATTAATAAATAAAAAAGATATTAAAATTAGCTTATTACTTGCTTTTATATATAATAATTAATAACTAAAGCTTATTAATAAACTAGTCGAGATTTATTAAAGAATTTGAAATTATATATTTATATATTTAAAATTCTTAATAAATAATAATAATCTTATTATAAAGAAATTAAATATTTTATAACTTAATTATAAAACTATATTATAATTATTATAATTTATTAATTAGTAATTAAATAGCTTTAAATATTTTTTCCCGGATATTTAGCTATTATAAAAGCTAATATAATAATATTTCATTTATTTAAATTTCGATATTTGAAATTAAAGCCTTTAAAAAAGCTATAAATATTAATATAAGCCTTTTTATATATATATTAAAAAAGCTAATTATTATAAAAGTAATTTTAAGCTAGTTCTTTTAATATAATAAGAAAAGCTCGTATTAGTATTTCTTATAAAAGCTTTATATATTAGTAAATATTAAGGAAAATAATAAGTTTATAATTAAAATTATTATTAGATTTATTATATTTTTGTTTTTTAATATAGATCTTAGTTATTTCCTTAATAAATCTAATAATTAAAAATAAAGAAAATAATTAGAAAATATTTAAATATATTTATAATAATAATAAAACTAATAAAAATATATTATTTCTTATATTTTTTACTTTTAAAGCTTTTATACTAATATTTAAATTTAGTAATAATATAGAATATAATAATAAATAAATAAAAAGTAATAAAGATAATAATAATAATATAGGAATTTTAAAACTAAATAGTTCTAAATACTTATTTTTTATAAGAATTATAAAGTCTAATAGAATTACTTCTTTTAAAAATCTAATTTAGTTTTTAATATATTTTTATTTATTTAAATATATTATATATTTTTCTTAATAATAAAAAGTAAAATACTTATAATAATAAAAACATTATTATTTTATTATATTAAAGGATTTTATATAAATATAATATTTTCTAAAGTTTAAATTTATTAAAGTTCTTTTAATAAATAAAGTTTTTAAAGTTATATCTAAATAATTTTTAAAGATTATTATTAATTATTTTATAAAAAATATATTAAAATAACTTAGTATTTAAGAACTCAAATATTTCTTATAATTTAATAATAATTAAATTAATTCTATATTTTTATTTTTTTATTATTTTATATAAATATAAAATAATTAAATTAAATAAATCTAATAAAAAAATTATTTACTATAATAAGTTCTATTATTATATATTTTATAGGCTTATATTTAGTTCGAGATATAATAATTTATAAGAAAAGTAAATTTATAAAAAGGAAAATAATTTATAAAATAAATTATTTATAAAAAGTATTATATAAAAATATTATTTATAATAAAAAATTTAGGGAATAAAATTTAAAAAATAAAATATTATAATTTTAGAAAAGTATAATTCCGGAAGAGCTTAAAGATTCTAAAGCTTAAAAACTTTAAATATTTAATTAATTATAAAAAGAATAATTTTCTATAAAAAAGAAAGTTTTATAAAATAATTAAATAATTAGTAAAAAGAAAATCTTTCTTTTTTATAAAACCAAATTATAAATTAAAGTAATTATTATTTCTTTTTTTTTAATATAGTTTAATTAAACTTTAATGAAATTAAATATCTTTTTTTTATAAAACCGAATTATAAATAAAGAATTAATAATTATTCTTTTTTTAATATAAAATAATAGCTTTATTTATAAGAAATTAAATCCCTTCTTTATTTAATTTATATATATAAAATACTAGTATATTATTAATAAAATAATTAATATTTTAGAAATAAGAATTATAATATTATAATATTAATATATAATTCCTAAATTTATTATATTTAATAAAAACTAGTTATTAATTAAGCTATTTATAGAATATAAAATTATATAATTATATCTTATATTTTATATTTTATTATTTATATTTTATTTATTTTATTTATTTTATTTATTTTATTTATTTTATTTATTTTATTTATTTTATTTATTTTATTTATTTTATTTATTTTATTTATTTATTTTATTTATTTATTTATTTTAATTTTATTTATTTTATTTATTATTTATTTATTTTATTTTATTTATTTTATTTATTTTATTTATTTTATTTATTTTATTTATTTTATTTATTTTATTTTATTTATTTTATTATTTATTTATTTTATTTATTTTATTTATTTTATTTATTTATTATTTTATTTATTTTATTTATTTTATTTATTTTATTTATTTTATTTATTTTATTTTTTAAACTTATAATTTAAATTTCTTTTATATTACAAATATAAAATATAAGCTTATTCTTTTCTTTTATAAAGTAAGTTTATTTAAAATAAAAATTAAAAAGTACTTAATAAATATATATATCTTAATATAATAAATAAAAAGAAATAATATAAATTAAATAACTTTTAATATTTATCTCGAAACTTTTATAAATATAAAAGCAAGTTATTATAGTTATATACTTTATGGCTAATACGTGCTTTCTATATATAGTATACTAGGCTATATTAGGCTAGGCTAGTTTATATACTTATATGATATTTATATATATTTATATATTTTTCTTTCTTTAGTTTAGTATTATTAGAATAAAAGCCATTCTATTCTACTTTTCAAGCCCAGAGCCCGGCCTCGTAATACAAGTAGTATTAAAAATCATTTAATTTACTAAATAAAAGTAAATATAACTTTAATTCTTATAAAATAAATATCTTATAATTATATATTATATTTAATTATTAAGAAAATCTTATAAAAAATAAATATACTTCTTTTTTATCTTATAAAGCTATTTTAAAGAGTTTTAGAAATTATATTAAGATTTAATATAATTTTTCAAAGGTAGCAATTTTGGTATTTCTTGCTTTTTAGTAAATAAACGATTTTTAATACCGCCCGCCTTTATATAAGGCTTTAAAGCCTAAGCATGCTAGCTGTTTCTAATCGCTGTGCTATACCAGATGTTAGAACTGAGTATACGCTAGTACGCTGTAGTTTATATACTGGGTATATATATATAGTGCTTACCCCGCATAAGCTGGAAAATGAAGTCGTCAACCTTCACTGTTTGCAACACCAGACATCCTAGCACGCAACACCGCAACACGGGCATAGACATGTTATAAAAATCCCATTTACCCTCTTGCTTGCGAAAAGTCTTCAAGCAACAACACTTCATCTCAACTCCAATTGATGGCATCCCTACGAGGCTACGAGGCTACGATGATGTCCAACCCAGAGCCTCGTGGCAGGAAACGATCAGCTCAGGGCACAGAGAGCGCAATCGACCCTAAAAAGCCACGAGTGCTTCAAACCGAGACAGAGACTTCGACCTCAACAATTTGCTCTGAATGCGCCAAACTGGATTTTGACGAAATCTTCGCGAAGGTCGACAGGAATGGGGCCTCCTCCAGTGGTACCCTCGTAGCCTCTCTCGGCCAACGTCTGAAAGATTTTGAGGTCACTGGATGCCATCTATGTCAATTCCTATGGACTCAACGCGTTCCGAGATATAATGACGATCCCCAAGGCTACTATCTGTGGGCATACTCTAGCAATAGCCATCTCGACATGAGGAGTAACGTAGTCCCACCACCTATACGCCACACTTTAAAATCGTTTCTCATGGTTGAGTCGGCAAGCAATCGCCAGCGTCGACATTCATCTAAGACGACGATTTCTCAAAGTCTTTTAACATACCCGGCTACATCTTCCGCTCTGTCTGTTCGTTTCGCGCCCCTTCGAGAGACTACGACAGATGGTATTGGATTCGGAATCCATATATCCCAATGGGACTGTGGGGCCGTGTTGTCCCAAAAACTGTAGAGTTTTCTCTCTTGGGTGACTGGCTTAACATCTGTCGACGCCATCATACAGAGCCCTGCGATGACTCCAAGCAACAGCGATCTTTGACGAAGTTGAATGGGTTCCAACTGGTCGATTGTGAGCGTCAAATGGTTGTTCCAGCGACAGGTACTGTGAAATATTCTGCACTAAGCTATGTATGGGGCTCCCCAAAAAGTTTAGATTCTAAACCAAACGCAGAGAACTGGCCTCGTGTAGTGAGGGACGCAGTGCTAGTGACCAAGACCCTTGGATTAGGATATCTGTGGGTGGACAAGCACTGCATTAACCAAGAAGATAGCAAGCATAAGGACGAACAAATAGCCATGATGGATCAAATATACGAAAGAGCCAATGTCACGATCATTGCAGCAGCAGGCCAAGATGCTCATGCCGGCTTGCCTGGAGTGGGTAATATACCATCCGCCGAGAACAACCAAGGGCCAAGGTTGGAACGCAGCTTCTAGTCTCTACTATGCAACACCCTCGTCGTAGTATCATGCAATCGACATGGTTCACTCGTGGGTGGACTTACCAGGAGGCTATTCTCTCAAAGAGAAGATTATTTTTCACGGAGGAACAGGTTTACTTCGAATGTGACAACATGAGCTGTTATGAGTCTCTCTATATGCCTCTTCTGGAGTTCCATACCAAAACGAACGCTCGCTTCCAGCCCTTTCTCTGGCCGAGCCTTTTTGCTGGCAGACATTCTGGAGCCCACTTCAAGTCAACAGGATTATCGCCCCAGGAAGAGATCAAACGATTTGAGCAGCATATACGACTATATAGCTCTCCAAAGCTCACGTTTGATTCAGACATTTTGAATGCTTTCGGTGGAATTACGCGGCGATTCTATACAAATATTTCCGAATATTCCCGAAAATCGACACGGTCTTCGATCTACGGCCTTCAAGTTTCTGTGGAAAGTCGGGATGATATTATTCATTCTTTTCTGATCTCTCTCATGCCTTGGCGTCACCCCTGGAAGAACAGTCAGGGGCAAATATCTTCGCCCCGACGACGGGAAAAGCTACCTTCCTGGTCTTGGGTTGGATGGGAAGGTGAAGTTTTTTACGACCTACGTAACGCCTGGTACACGATACCGCGAGAAGAATTTACATTTTGCGCTGCAGTATATCTTGTCTCTCCTGACGAAAGCCATATCTGGGACCTCTACAGTCAAGAAGTAATTTCAGCAATAAGCGATCACAGAGGCCAGATTTCATCGGTGCTAAGGTTTCCTAAACCTCTTATTTTGGATGCATCGAAAATGGGATCAAGAACCGATGAATGGATCCAGGATTGGGTAAGCCATGATGGGTATACTCAAGCTTGGAACCCCCTCTCCTGTAACAAGATAGCGGTATCGAAAGGTATTAACAGCTTTTCCGAAGTATCTAGGCTTATCAACAGCTCTCCGTGGAAGTGTGTCTTCCTATTCAGAACAGAGTCATGGGCGGGAATGCTTGTCGAGAGCAGAACGGAGAAGCTTGGGAACGAATTGGTTGCGTCATTTTGCGAAATGTATATTCTCTTGATATTCCAAACTTACCAACCATAGAGTATTCAGGAGATATGGATATACACTAATGGAAAATGAACTGATTTATGTTGTATGCAATTTTGGCGCGCGACAGCGCGCCCTAGCCTATTAAGGTCCTGGTGTTAGTAGAGATAAGCTTTAGAACTCCCAGAATTAGCACGATGGCCAGTTCTAAATATAAATAATATGAAAACTATAGCCGATTCGTGAGGAGCCCAGAAGAGGATCCCCCTGAGTAAAATTCTGCTGACTTATTAACCTGCTTAGTATTCAGGGATGAGTTCAAGTCATAGCATCGACTGATTATAATTTGCTTACTATTTAATTCTACTATGCGAAAGTTGCCAACTCTATACGGCTATATTTAGGGAGACCAGGTCGACTCCCAGGGGTTTCTAGGGAACCCAAACAGGACCCTCCAAAAATACATCGTTTAATCTCAAGGCAGATTCTTCTCGCAAAATGGCGTGGTCTTGGATCTTTCCAAGGAGAATCTACCCTCGCTCCTCCTTTCAATTCTTTGATTTTTCATATACCTTTCTCCTATTAGACTACTTACGTGACAGCCTCCTAAGTCTGGCCTACAAAGCCCGCTACCTGACTCCCATATGACTACGGAGATCGCTGCATAAAGTATCGGGAATGCAAGGCATCTCGACCCTTGGTACACTGTAGGGTACGAATTCAGGGTAAGAGTTCGCTATAAGCCCCTATAAGTACAGGCAGTGCTCCCTAAATCGACGTTCAGAGGCGCTGTAAGACATTCGAAGGGTATAAATAGATCTTTCAGTGTAGAGCGCTATTAGTAGAGTAATTAGCTCTCGGACGATAGACAAGCAACTGTTATAGGCCTCCTTAGTAAAGACTCCCTCTCAAGTAGAGGGGAAAGCCTTGACAAGGTATAATAGCCATTGTCGAAGTGATACCTCCTGTTCGTCAATACGACCGATTGGTTAATAGGGAGCGCGATTGATCAATCGCTCGTATTGATTAACGGGAGTTATCAGAAGGCGTTCATGCTGCTTTTAGGGAAAGGGCCTAGAAATATAGCACCTTATAGCGAGTTTGCTACCTTAATCTGTACGCTGGAGAGCTTAAAAGTCTCCTCATGCCCTGTATTCCCGATACTTTATGCCGTTGTCTTCGGAGTCGACCTCGGCCGCCCCTTATCTCCACCCTGAAGCCGCTCTGCACAATTCCATCCCTCTGCAACAAGTGCCAGTCAATCTTCAACCATTGGTACGACCGTAATCACTGCAAAAAATGGAGGCTAGATCCTTTGTATCACACCATCTCCGGTCTTTACCGTCTTTATGACTCGGCTCATGGCGATTATCACGTTTGCGATCTGCTGTTTAGGGGAATTGCGGAAAACAAGCTTCGTGAAATCTTGTCAAAATGGCGAGATGAAGAGGTAGTTGTGGAGGTACGAGAGTGGGTTGGTGAAAATGGACATTTCGCTATTGAACTTATTTGGAGATCTTCATCAGGCAAAAGAGCAGGATATATGGAACTTGCTAGAGCCTACGTTATGTAACCTGTGTAGCATTTATAGAGAACACTCCTAAATTGGTATCGGAGACAGACATAAATGATGATGTAGGAATTATTACAAGAAGTACCGATAGCGCGGAAAGTTGACTCTTGTAAACAATTAGCTTCATGGATGCCGGTCAAGCCATCCGAACTGCCCTGCTCATTACATGAATCGGATAGTGCCCACTCGTCTCGTCGCGGTAGGCTCAACAAACGTTGAGCTACATCTCACTCTGACAACTGCATTCATATCGTAAAGCAGGCCGTTCCGCCACGGACTCAGCGAGCCCTTCTCTGACTCTATCAGCACGTGAAGAACACTTAATCCCTTGCTCGAAGATCGTCCCTTCGCCTTGTGCGATAGTCGCTCAGTCGACCCTGAGGACCTGGTTACTGTGGATCGAATCGGCCCAAAACCCGGTGGAAGAGGTTTATTGATATATTCAGTCAAGCGGTTACCATCACAACGCTAGTGTATCACCAGAAGCTCGAAATTGGTTATCCTTCCAATCGTAATTTACTCAAAGCATCCATTTTCCAATTCAGACTTCATGCACATGCTCCACTGTGCTGGCACTTGTCTTCTTTTCCGGCATCGGTAGCGTGGTACCCACATAAGAGTTCTCACCATCAAACAGAATCGCAATTTCCTCCAAAGTTGGACCTTTAGTCTCGACATAGAAGAAGTAAATAACCAGACATTCAATCACCAATACAGCAATGTACACGAAGTAAAACTTCCACTGCAGGACCTCCAATCCAATTGGGTTCACATACTGGTTGAACACACAACTCAGTGCGGTGAACGCGAAGCACAGAGTTAACCCCTTTGCACGGATGTGGTAAGGTAGAATCTCAACAGTGTATGAGACCGTAAGTCCTGGCCAAGCGGCTCCAGCTGTTCCATAAAACAGGAAGATCACGGCGAGGACTGCTGATCCAGCCCCAGTGCTACCAGTTTTGGCGTACACCGCGCTACATGTGGTCCAGATCGTGAAGGAGATGAGCATGCCAAGCCCGGCGAACAGGAAGAGAACACGACGTCCAACTCGGTCGACGAGGAATGCACAGTTCAGTAAGATCAACCAGCACCAGATTGTAAGGCCGCCATTGATTATCGCTTGCTTCTTCGGTCTGTAAGAGGTCAGTATGCATGAAAGAAGGTTTAGCTGGCGTGCTCACTCGGTGATTCCAATAGTTTTCAGGATCGATGACAGATAATAGGAGACGAGGCCGTTTCCTGAGCATTGGGAGAATATGGCGGTTACAATTATGAGGAAACACCTCTTCCGATTGCCTGGAGTTCGTACCAGTTCAAGCCAACCAGTGCTCGACGAAGCTTCCTTTTCCAAGTGCAGGGTTTCACGGATTTCTGAAAATTCCCACTTGACGGACTCATCCGATTCGTCTCCATTTGCGTGATATTTCGTCAAGATCTTCAGCGCTTCATCGTCGCGTCCTTTGCTGATCAACCATCGTGGTGATTCGGGGATGAAGAATATTGCAAGAAGTTGGATACCAGGCATCAGGCATTGAAGTCCTGTTGGAAGACGCCATTGAATATCTCCCGTGAGCGTCGTTAAAGTTCCATATGTAGTCCACGCTGCAATGATCGCACCAAGATACCAAAGCGTGTTGTATATCGTCGTCACTTTGCCTCGATGCTGGGGATGCGCGATCTCAGTGATGAGGAGTGGGCAGCATCCGTTGCTGATATTAGCACCGAATCCGATGAAGAATCTTCCGGCGAGGTACATCGCCTCTGGGTGCGATGATGGAGGGAATGACTGGATGAGTGAGCCCATGATGATGAAGGCACAGCCGATTGCTGTGCCCATTCTCCGCCCGAGTATGTCCGCAATATAGGGGGCGAATAGGAGGACGGCAAGCCCACCAAAACCTGGCATGGCGCCAAAGATGCCCAGTCGAGATCCTACAGGATAGGAGAAATCTACGCTCTCCGTTAGTCGCCCTCGAGTTTCAAGGCGAGTGTACCGTACATTCTTGCCATGAAGTCATGGTTTGTAGTCCGTTCAGAACACTTCCATCGTAACCAAGCGTTGTTGAACCAAGGAAAAGGAAAGTCATCATGAAGTAAAGTTGTCGAAGAAGTGGCTGCTTCCACCAAGGAATCTCCGTTGCCATTGGATGGTTGACGGGAGTCTCATCTTGAAAGGCTTTTGTGCCAAGTTTCTCTGAATCAGTCGACGGCATTTCTTCTGCTGTAATTAATGGAAGACAGAAAATTAAGATCAAAATTCAAGAAGAGATGGATGATGTTGATCCTTGCTTTCCATGATGGATATCGACAAGATATATAGCAAAATTGATTTTGGGCTGACATTCGAATCGTAGCGGGATCGTGAAAGCGTCCCTTGCAGATATTGGTTCTCGAAGATCCTGGGGGAGATTCTAGAGACGGGGCTTTTCGGACAGACATGACATCCGAAGTGTTTCCCTCAAATCTGGGGCACAGCGTGGTGCGGGGTGGAAGGACGGCATTTAGAGTTGCACCAATCCCAATTGCAATGGATATGTCAATATCCGAAGATATTGCGAGGGAGTTTTGAACCGCCAAAGCCCGATCCGCAAAATAGAAAGCCCTTGGGCGTTGACTAGTCGCTTTCATCGCATGGTGGCGTCTGCCGGTTTAGTCCGCCTTGCCGAGGAGCGTGACCATACGAAGATTGTGGAGTGGATTCGCCGCACTAGGCGCTCTTTTACAAAGATCTCTCGGGACTACCCCGCTTCCGAAGAACAGCATCTTGAATGTGTCTTCCACCATATAATCTTTCACACATCCGAGCTTTTCCCCAACCTTCAAGATGACCCTCAAGATGATATTGTCTACGCCACACTAGCTGTTTTCGATGGATAACCAGACCGAGCCGGCAACAAAGGAGATCCGCCGACGAACTAAACAAGCCTGCGATGCTTGCCGCAGTCGGAAAACAAAGATGAGTCATCCAATTCATCCTTAAACATTCTGTCTAACTTCGTTCTAGTGCTTCTGGGATGGGGCGACGTGCCGCTCATGTCTTGAACTGGAAATACCATGCACTCAGGAAAGACCGAGGAGAAGGAGGGGTCCAGTGAATCGGTCCGGGTTTTCCAGTTCTTAGCATAGCCTTTTTATACTAACAGTTCTCAAAGCTACGTCGAGGCTCAGAAGCAACTTGCCAGTCCCGTCAACTCATCAATTCTATCTCTAAGCATCTATTCGACTTCGCCAAGTGAGCCAATTAACAATGTTCTCGAGAAACTGGGTCCATCCTCCCTGATAAAACAGATTATTGATGACTGGTTCGAACTCATCCATTCCGTTGCGCCGATATTACACCGTGGGCACTTTCTGGAGCGCCTCGAAAATGGAGATGCCAAGCGAGATTTCGGGTTTTGCGGGCTTGTAGTGTCTCTTTGCGCAGCTACAGTTGTGAGTTTGAAGAGGAGGAGTTCTGCTCAATACGGGTCAATCACTATTGAACGATGCCTTGAAGCTATTAAGGAAAACCAACTCCTTGAAAGCAAGAATAGCTTCAGCCTTGAGTGGTGCCAGACGAAGTATAATTTAGGCATTGCATTAGGCGCAGGGAGAGGGCTAGACGACCCATCAGGCTTTCGTTTCATGAGTGAAGCAGCTATGGGAGTCAAGTATCTCCTCTACTACGAGCTTCCCGCTATGTCTTTGGTATCTCAACAACTGCTAAAACGTCTTTTTTGGTTGATATTTTCTGGGCTTTGGTGAGACTTCCTACTACCCACTCCAAGATTCGATGTCAGCTTACAATATCCTAGCAGTGTAGAGATGTTCGGAAGACCATGCATTGGCTTACTCACCCCTCAAGACAACATCCAAGCATTGCGACCGTTAGATATGACTGATCGGGATCTGGACCTGAATCGCGTCTCTCCTGGGGAACGGTGGCATGGCGATACCATGTCTTACGTACCTGGTTTGAACCACCTTTCAAACCTCTTCCTACTCTGGCGCTCGAGTCAGCAACTTCCCAACAACAACATCAGCGGTCTTCAAGAACACATCGCTTTAGTCCAACGTGCACTCGACGAGTTGCCAGCTGAGCTTTGCTGGCGAGGAGGACTTTCCCGTCCACCTCGCAGTAATTTCGGCACCGATGTGCAGGTAGCGAATCTGTACATCACGCAACTTCATATCCGATCCAATCTTTTGGAACAATTAGAACTCCTAGCGAAAGGCCAATCGGATCTCACTGCCTCCCAAAATATACTTTCGCAGCGTCAAAGCATTGTCGAGGATTTGCTGGAAATCCTCTCCCATATGCCACGAGAAACATTGGAGGCTAACGGTCACAGCTTGGTTCCCAAGATCAGGGACATTGGTGCCGCCTTGCTGGACGAAGTCAGAATGACCGATGGCTCACAACTAGCGAACGAACAAGCTAGAACGGATTTGAGAAGACTATTGGAGAAGCTGGAGAAGTTGGACTTCAGGCCCGAGTTCAGTCGCTCGGGGCTGGGAAGCTAATGAAATGTCTTTTGCGCTCTATTTAAACAACAATTCTACATTTCAAAAGTCACTTTCATCTTCTGCAATGCTATATGCAGTACATTCAGCGATCATCGTTCTCGATGGAATCGTGACAGCAATGGGGAATCCGCCATAATCAGGATCCTCGTTCGGCATGATATAGAAGCTTCCGCTTCTCGTCTCATCACCATTCATAACTCGAGCCGTATGCAAGTTGCCATTCACATCCACAGTTTTCTCTTCGGAGTACAAGATCCCAGTAAAGCTCGACTTAGGGTTCGTACTCTTAAACGTAACTTGAAAGCCCCAACCAATCAGCAGGAATTTTCCATTGCCTTGATGTATCACCATTCCCGCACCCGGCCCAGCCTCGCCAAAAACAAATGCTCGATCTACCGTTAACTGGAAGTCACCGAACGTTCGCACCCAAGGGCTTTCAAGCTTGGGCTCTGGGAGCTCATCAAAAAAGAATCCCATGATGTCTTCCGGCCGGTTGGCTTGCGCCTCCAGCACGATATCACTCACGGAACTCAAGAGACCGTAATGTTTGGTAATGGGACTAATACTGGATTCCAGAGAATCAACTCCGAATGGAGAGCAGCCGATGCTCAAGTATGTTCCATATGCAAGCCAAACTCTTCTCGCACCTCGCTCATCTCTCCGTTGCTCGGGTATAAACAGCGGTTGGTCTTGATGTCGGTACCACTTACACACTTCCTCGTACTCGTGAAAGTATAGATCTGGGGCGATGAAATCCAGTGCTGGCGCATTGAGCTTCCATATATCCATGGTGTGGGGGACTGCTCCTCCAGAAGGATAGATTCCAGCCTTCGCACCTCCACCCACCACCACTGGTACGTCTTGGAGGTCGAGAACACTTGGATCATCGAAGTTGAGCCAGACATTGGTGTAGAGCGGAATTGGATACTCCGCTTTCCCAGCGGCGGAGACGTGCCCAATATATCGCGAGAATGCATCTGCCATGAACATTTCCTCCGCATCAACACCCTTCCCGAACGCCTCTTCCCATGTTGCCACTCCAGTGGTGAGTGCCTGGAAATTCGGAAATCTCTTTCGGAATAGCGAGTGAACGCTGGATTCGTATTGGCTCTTCAAATGTGAGACGACAGCCTCTGGGACCGGTTTCTTGAAAAGTTCGCTCGCAAGCCTCGACCGATCCCTCGAATCTCCGAGCAATCCTGTCTCATTTTCCACTTGTACCATGAGCACAGTGTTTTCCTTCCCATCAAATTCCTTCAAGTGTCGCATCAAAGCCGCAAAAGCTTTCGCGTCCGCCTTCCAGCCCTCCTCACAAAACGGCGACACCAGCTCCAGCGTCTTCATAACGCCCCCAGCTTCAAGTGTATGCACGCGAGGAAATCTCTTCGTATCTTGTTTCACCCACGCCGGGGCATAGGTACTAAGGGCGTTCTTAAAACTACCGAACCAAAGCAGAACGAGATGCATATCAAACTTCCTCGCATCTAAGATCACACCATCAAGTTGAGAGAAGTTGAATTGGCCTTCGGCGGGCTCAATCATTTCCCAGGTTACGGAACCGAGAAGCGTGTTGATGTTGGTTGCTTTCATGTTCGGCCATACGGTACTCATATATGCCGCGTCGCTGAGGGAGGAGTTGTGGAGCTCGCCGGCTAGTATGAGGAAAGGCTTGCCGTGGACTACTAGTTGGCTTGACGTCTTCGTTTTGCGGAGGTAGGGGATCTGAGTATGGACACTGTTGAAGTTTTGGTAGGAAATTGAGAGAATCTCCGTGGAGGGATCCTGTCGCGAAACCATTTTGGCTTCTTCAAATAGTTTGCGATAATTTTCTAGGAAGATCGCTCGAAGCTGAAATAATGTACAGACTGTCAAAGTTGAAAGATAAGTGCTTAATGTGCAAAAAGTGAAGGCGCAAAGCAATACTTTTAAGTCTTCTTCTAGCCTTGCTGGATACTAGAGTACATATTTTTACGATGGGAAACCATTTTGTCGGCCCGACATAAGAGAAAACAGTGGGGGCCAATTGTTGCGTTCCGCATATACTTCGGATGTGGAAAACGCAGGGCAGAGGCCTCATCCGAGCAAATAAGAACTTCACCCGCGATACTGGCTGGGCTTGGGCCGAAGATCAAGCGGAGATAATCGCAAAGCATTACGCAAAAATATATATTATGCAATGATTCATGGTGGCTCCATGTCTCATTTCGGATGAAATCCTTGATCTGTTCTGTTGTGGCGATATCCGATCCTGGTTGCTCTTCGACGAAGCGGCCTTGGCAAAGTTTTTCTCGTGGCTCCAATGTTTTGTGTCTGCAATGGCATTTGCTGTGTATCCTTGGAATTACCCGGGGAAGATGGTGGGCCCGCCGAACATAAAAGTATCTCGTTCATCGACAGAAACCGGAGATTTCAGAAGGGCAGGGGCGGGAAGGAGAGTTGTAGCATAAGGTCATTTCTTAGTTGAGTGGCTCATGAATCCAGCATACAGGGTCATCTGGTGTAGAAAGCCAAGTGCACTGTTCGAGCAAAGAAAAGTCAGTGTCGAACCTAACTACGGCGCTGATTTCGTAGTGGTCTGAAATGCTGGCTCCGACTCGCGGAAGGTCTACAACAACCGGAATATTGAACTTTCAAATCAATTTTCGGGCTAACATCACTCACCTTCAATGTCCGGGGTGCGTTGAAGGCACCAGCGGATATTATGACTTCCTTAGTCGTATTGGCAGCATCTGGAGCTCCCTTCGTGCTTCCCGAACGCGCATCGTCGGAATATGGGCTTTCTCCGTCAAGGAAATCAACCCCAATTGCTCTTGGGTTGCTTACGAGGGTGGCCTTGCTGAATCGTATCTTGGTTACGAGGGCGTGAGTTCGGATGTCCAGATGATATTTCTTAGTGCCGTTGGGGAAAGCTGCGTTTTGCCGTCGCGAGAATTGACGCCAAGTACCATCGCCGTCGATACTCGAAGTCACCAAAGCTCTGGATGGGACAGTGTGTCAAAGGATTATTCAAGTTATTCAAGTTATTCATGAATATTCATGAATAACTTGAATAAAATATGAATAAAATAAGAGTAACGGGTTTTATACTTGACTAAAATAAGAGTAATGGCCATTATTCTATTTTACTCTATTCATTTGACACACTGGGATGGGACGTGGTATCCGTACTGAGTGCTGTGATGCAGCGGGAACATGACGGCAGGAGTGCCTGTTCTGCGCTGAATGTGATCCCAAGTGGCGCGTGCACAATCCAGTCAAAAAAGGAGGGTTCCGTTGAATTCCGCAAATGGAAACCAGATTTATAGGAGCATCATTTCCGGTTTCATGTCCATGGTCGACAGAAAGGTGCGTTTCTTAGCAGATTCGTGACATATCAAGCATATTCCCACTCAGGAGCCGCTTGCTTCTTCCCAATGCTCGAAGGCCAGAATAGAAGAAAAAGCTTGAAATTGTTCTGAAGGACCATAGTGGACTACCTCCGTCGGTCTGTTTTCATTTGAGATAGAATTCAAAGAGGAGAGAGGAGTAGTCGATTCAATTCCATCCACTATCTCAACCCCAACACGTTCTTCTCTATGATCTTCATACCATCTCGAACAGCAGGAGAGAAGTGCTTCCTCAGCATCTCCCCCTCCCAGACTGTTGCAGCAAATGGGTTGCTACCCTCGACCTCACCTCCCAATGCATGAAACACCCCGTCTCCTCTTCTCTCCTCCGTATTCCATAAGGCAGCAATCTTCTTCTTGTGCGTCTTCGTAATTCTTCCTAGTAACCCGATCATTGCGATGCAAGACTTTTCTGGCAAATGCAACGAGCTCGTCATAAGCTGTTTCGTGAAAGCAGCAATTCGTAACGGTGGAACAGCCCTTGCTGCAAGCGGTGGGGCCAGGACCGAGGACAGAGAACGCAGAAGGAGTACAGTGGTTGTCTGGATATTGACTTTATTGTTGGTGGAGGCGGGACTGTTTGGATCGGGGAGATGGAGAGATTTGGCGCTCAATTCGATATCAGGGTTAAGGGACAGGGCATGCAAGGTTCGGTACAGATGCGTAATAAAGAAGCTGAGGTCGAGGCTGAGTGTTGCTTGTGCTTTGGCTGCATCTTGACCTTCCAGGAGGGCAAATGCTGTGATAATGCAGAGAAGGGCTTCACGTGTTAGATTTCGGGTCGTTTCGTCATCCTTCTCCTGCTGCTCTTCGATATCGTCGCCCGTCTCAGCATGGCCAATGAGATCCTTCAACGCTTCAAGTAGATCCCCAAAGAAGTCTTGATTGATGAGATGCGCATAACGAGCCAACCCTTCCAGAACAGCCCCCATGAGATTTGGCGATCGCATCTTCAAGATCCGGAAATACGTCACGAACACCAGCTTCAGAGTTTCGGCTTGCATGCGATCCTTCTCCTCGTTGCTGACTGTCGCATCTGCTTGCTTCATTTCCTTCTCTATAACTCTTCGCTCCTTCATCAACTTCCTCTCTTTCTTGGTTCGGAAAACCCTCTTTTCTTTCAACTTCCTCCCCTCAAATCCACCATCACCATTGCCCGGCTTGTCAATATGATTCGTCGAAGCTTTCCACGAGAATTCTGAAAGTAGGCGTAGATGTAGAAAAGTGTTAAGGACACTTTCATCAATCCGGTACCCTCGAGCCTTCATCATCTTCGTCAGAATCGACACGGCGTCGAGTGATGGTGTTCCATCGTCGTCATTCTGAAACAGGGTTTCAATTGTCTCCCGGCATCTGACGAAATCCGCATCCACTTTTCGATTGCTCAGTTTCCCAACCAGGATCTTTAACAAATCCCCTCGAAAGTTGAAATGCGGTACTGCTGTCAAAAGAGCACAAGCACAGGATATGGCAACACTCCCCAGACTAGGTCCTCCGTCCCTAGACAGGCCTCCTTTTCCAGACTGTGCAAGCTTGGCCAGCTCTCGAATATATATCTGGTACCCTCCCACCAACGCCTGCTCATACGCTCGAAGCTTTCGCACCTCTTTCGAAACCTTAACCTCCATATCTTCTTCGGAAAGCGGTCGTATTCGATAACCAGGTATGACATCCTTGTAGATCGCCAGTTGTGTTGCAAGCGCCAATTTCTTGATGGTTGTGTTCTCCCATTGTCCGAATTGTGCCAATGTCTTGAAAGCGCCAACATTCTCTTCCGGATCCTCATTCAACATCAAGGCAATTCGAGCCATTTCCTCCTGTGCTTGCAAGATCTGCTGCCGCATGGAAACTTTTGGATTCTTTACGACCTCTACTTCAACCGCCTCCTCTGATTCCTCTGCACCGAGCCATTCCAAATCACTCTCGTCGTCTCGAGCCTCTTCAAAGAAATCAACTTGTTGAATGAGTCCATCGGATGTCTTGATCGGCAATCTTGTGCTCTCCTTCTCTTTCTTGCTCCCCTTCCTTGGTCTCGACTCGTAGTCCTGCTCTAGATTCCAGCCCGAGGCTTGTTTGAAGAAGGCGTTCGTCTTCGTTTCGTGCTCGAGGGTGGAAGGCGAGGAGTCGTCTCCATCTGCCACAGGAGGTGTAAGCCTTCGTCGCTTGACTGCTGGTATTCTGGCCATGTTTGGTGTGATGATGGTGGACAAGACCCGGATGATCGTCGCCGATGTTGAGAATTCGTGAATGCGGCCGCATCCAAAAAAAAAAAGTTGCTCGGAAAAACTTCCCGCCGAAACTCATCTTGATCGAACCTCGTCGCAACAAGAGCACCACATCAGCAACACCAAAATGCGCCCTCTCACCGAGACAGAGACCCAGGCGTTGTTTACGAAGTTGGCAAACTATACGGGGAACTCGTTGAAGAATCTCATAGCGCCTCTGGACAATTCTCCCAACAGCGACCGATACGTCTTCCGAATCCAAAATTCTCGATGCTACTACGTCCGACTGTCTCTGGCAAACCTGGCAACCTCGATATCGAGGGATAAGCTGCTGTCTCTGGGAACATGTTTAGGTATCTCCAGTCTCCTCGTCGTTGCACCTCAAGCTCTAATAGCTCCCAGGCAAGTTCACCAAGACAGGTAAATTCCGCCTGCACATCACCGCGCTTCCTCACCTCGCCGAACACGCACGATACAAAATATGGGTCAAGGCAAATGGCGAGATGCCATTCCTCTATGGAGGGCATATTGTAAAGGCACACGTCGGGCGGTGGTCCGAGGATTGTGCCGAGCATCAAGGAGTCATTGTCTACAGCATGAATGATACACCTCTGGGCTTTGGGGTTACGGCTAGGAGCACACAGGAGGCACGGAGATTAGATCCAACCGGTATTACGTGCTTCAGACAGGCAGATTGTGGAGAGTACCTGAGGGATGAGGATAGTCTGTTTGCAACCAACTGATGGGATGTTGGCGAAGAAGACTGACGACCCTTGTTGGCACGGCTGGCGTTGGGGAAAAGAACATGACGTTTATTGGCATATGGAATCGATTTCTCTTGTTCGTTTAATGCTACAAGACTCCCAAGATCTGTTTTGTTGTGAGGGGAGTTTGGCGGGAGAATATTCATGACTCCCAAATAGGACTTCGTAAATACCGCAATTGAGAGCTCCCTGATACCTGAAAGACACCCTAACGTAGGAACGTATCACTACGTCTCTCAGTCCACCGAACCATCCATCCCTAGTCCTGACCAATTCTCCGTTGAAGGGAGAATGGCTTACACGTGACCTTCAAGGATCGGGAAAACGTTTTCCCAGGCCGAAATAATTTTATGAAGAGGGTCCAAGGCTCCAGGCATCCCTTTTGACGACCTCAACTTCAACGACATGCATGGAGTTCCACCACAATGGAGACGAATTCACGATAATACTGCGAATCTTTCACGATGCTACGACCTAAATCTCCAGCGTGCCTCCTCTGCTCCTTCAGAGCAGCGCGAAGAGCACCACGGTCCTTTCTTCAATGGCCAAGCCAACAGACCATGTCCCTAAACATGAAGTTCCACCCTTTGAAAGCCGGTGAACGTCCGTCACGAATGAGTCTTACAAAAGCGCGAGAAGTTGGCTCTGCAGATTCCGCAGCTGCTGGTGGAAGAACTCCACGCAGAAAACAAGATGGGCCGTTTGGGGGGATGAATTTGAAAGTGGCAGGCATACGAGGTGTTCCGGATCGAGTACGGGACTCAAAAGATCCAAGAAACAAGAGAGATGAACGAAAGGATCATGGTTTCAAGGCACTGAAAATGCAGAGATCATTGGCGCCAGTCTCCTACGATCAGCGGACACGAATAAAGGAACGAATGGCAGAAGTTCGAACCTTCAGAGAATTCCCTTTGCTCGAGTCAGTTCGCAAGGCCATTGTGGAACAGGCATTACAAGGCATGGATGATCTTACGCCGACGCCCGTCCAAAAAATTGCTATTCCAGCCCTTCTGGGTGAGACCAGCAGGGCGCGGACCCGAATTAGACGTCAACAAGCTCTCCGAGAAGAGTTCCTCGTGGCCGCAGAGACTGGTTCCGGCAAGACACTCGCATATCTAATACCTACGATTAATGCTGTTAAATTGGCAGAGGCTGCAGATGCTGAAATTGAGGAGCATGAGAAGGCATTGGAGGAGGAACGGAGACGAAAGAATGATATAACCTTAGTCTCGCCACCTCTGTCGAACATGCCGCACCCAACGACAGGTCGGCCAAGAGCAGTGATTCTTGTTCCAACAGCTGAGCTGGTGACACAAGTTGGCAACCTTATCAAGGCAATGTCACACACTGTCAAGTTCCGTTCGGCGTTAATATCGTCTTCGTTCAGCGGTATTGTTATTCGAAATCGATTGTTTTCGCCAAAAGGTATCGATATTCTAGTCTCAACACCTCATCTCCTGGCTTCAATTGCCGACTCAGATCCCAATATTCTCTCTCGCGTTACTCATCTCGTCATCGATGAAGCTGATTCCCTGATGGACCGTGGCTTTGCCCCACTCACATCGGCCATTATCGACAGATCTAGCCCATCCCTCCAACAGCTCATTCTCTGCTCTGCAACGATCCCTCGCAGTCTGGATACCTATCTACGGAAGCGTTTTCCAGATATCCGACGCCTTGTGACTCCAAATTTGCACGCCATCCCTCGACGAGTTCAGCTGGGTGTTGTCGATGTGGAAAGGCCTCCGTACCAAGGCAATAAAGACCTGGCTTGTGCAGATACGATATGGTCAATTGGAAAGGCAGCTGCTGACCACGATGGGCCGGTAAAGGGGGAGATGGACGTGAAGCGGATCCTTGTTTTTGTCAATGAACGCGAGACGACCCAAGCCGTCACCGAGTACCTTGTGTCGAAAGGAATCGATGCGATTGCCTTGAGTCGTGACACGCCCGAGGAGCGGCAGTCGGAAATGTTGGCCTCGTTCACGCCCGCAAAACCACTTTCAGCTCCAAAGGTTGATCATCCAGGATCTCTCGCGGACAACCAGCCGAACTACGTTCCAATCGGCAAGGCGCCGCCTCCGGTGAAGCGTAGCCTTCCAAATGTGAAGGTGTTGGTCACGACTGATTTGGGATCCCGGGGGATCGACACGTTGGCTGTGAGGCATGTAATTTTGTACGATGTACCGCATTCTACCATAGATTTCATTCATAGACTTGGGCGAACTGGGAGAATGGGTAGGAGGGGGAGAGGAATTGTACTTGTAGGGAAGCATGATCGGCGGGATGTTGTGGCTGAGGTGAAGGAGGGGATGTTCAAAGGACAGGCGTTGATTTGAGACGCATTCGGCAGGCACAGAAAGATGTCCATTTTGTATCATAAGAATATACCCATCTCGAGATGTTTCCCTAGTCTATTGTGGAAATCTCTTGTTGCAATCCCTGACATATTTGTTGAAGTTACTCTCCTTTTGCGAGTCTGGTTGCCCGAGCCCGCCCGTTCTATTCCCGGTTGGTAAGGCTGAATGAAACTGAATGTCGGTGGGCGACATGCACTGCACCCTTATTGTAACTCCTTTGCAGGGGTCCTGTAACTCAGGGATGAAATCATATTTGATCATCCTTGAGCGGCAGCGCCACGAGCGCTGCCGCTCTGTCATCCAAGTCAATCCTTCGGGACACGACATAGACTTTGAAATCGTTCAAAATCTACCAACGCAGTCCATTGGACGGCTCACTGCAGATTATTGAGTTGAGGGACCAAGTTGCTAAGTTCAGTTGGTGGATGACTAAATTGCATTAAGCAAGGATAAAGATGGACAATGCCCATTCTCATCAAAGCCAACTTGGCTGCAAGGAAGCCCGTTAAGCGAGGGCGGCTTGGGTAATTAGGGGGGAGAAGCACGTGACTAAAAGTCGGCTGCCTCTGGAGGTCGCTGTTTTCATAGTCTCTAGCCCGGCAACAGAAACCATAAGGCTTCGTACAAAACATTTAGCGATAGAAATTTTTTGTCATATGTTATGGACGCACCTGTTTTTCACCGTCCGTCAGGCCAGCGAAGCTACGCCTCGGCAGTGATTGCTCGGTCGGTCGGCTGGATGCATCCACTCTGTCCTGTGGAGCGAAAGTGGTGCTCCTACTAGAAATTTACATAAATTGATCCACACTTCGTAAAGGCGTGGGATCTTTGGCCGCTAGATGCAAGCTCTCGCTCGCCAAGGCGCCAACTGAAGTTCCAAGTAAGCTATGGCTGCGATCTTCAAGTATTCCTCTCAGTAAGGCTAGGATGTGAAACTTTGGGTCGATATACGGCCATAGTGAAGGAGCTTGGGCTGATCAGCGAGTTGCCCAGCGATTGCAAAGCCTCGCAAGGCGAACTTTGGGTTACCAATATTTCCAAATCTGCACGGAAATCCTTACGCAAAACCTTCCCACTCTCTTGAGAGGATTAAATTCGATCCCGGACCAAGTTCGAGTGTGGGGAAGTTCCTGCGTTAACCTCTTGTGCCAGCTATTGGATATGCGTGTCGAGGCTAACCTTAACCTGACCGCCTCAGCCCCGAGTTAAACCTCGTGGGACGGCGAGGTGCGTAAAGGATTGCGGGATGTGTGCCTCATTGGCTTTCCCTTAAAGCCAAGTTTGACGGGCCTGAGGTAGCGCCATCATCCGTAAAGCTATGGTGCTAGTAGCAGGCAGGTGTAACCCCCCAAACTCCTCTTACCTCGACCAGCGCCTCCAAGAGATGCGGCGCCGGTTTGCGTTGGCTCGTGTATAATAAGTCAGTCCATGCCCACTCCTTTAAGAGAACGTGTTTCCCAACTTCAAGTTTGAATTCTTTTGCAGTTTCAAAGCCCTTCCCCAGAAGCTGTAACTTTAAGTGAAGATTGAAGAGCCATCAAGATCAACGCACCCACGAAAACACCATAAACTCAAACATTACGATGGCTTCCCCACAGTACACCGCTGAACAACCTCAGTACCATACTGAGCAACCTGCCATGCAACCCATCCAAGAGAAAAACTACCCACAACAAGGATTGCCTGAACAACCTATGGCGCAGCAGCCTGTGCCAGCAAACAACTTCGCAAGCGCAACACCTCTCGTGTCATTGCAACAAGGTCCGGCACCCGTTGACTGCCCAGTGTGCAGAGTGAGGCAGATGACGAGGGTGGAGTTTGTTTCTGGTGGAACTACCCAGTAAGTCTTCTTTCTCGGCAGGTGAAAGACGAATATCAGGATACAGAAACTGATTTACGGAATAGTCTTATTGCAATCCTTTGCTGTCTCGGTCTCTGCTGTGGCTGTGTTCCCTATCTCACGACTTGGTTCAAGGACGTCGAGCATAAGTGTGGAAATTGCGGGGCGCTGCTGGCGGTTTGGCATCGCAGCGGGAGGGTGGAGGTTATTGCACATGCTACTACGTAAGGGACTACGGATTGTGGTGGGGATTGGGAGGGAATTGAATCATACCAGGATTACGAGATGTGATTGGTGGGATTGATACTTGATATGGATGTAAAATCGGATGGGTCGAAGAACTTTCAATACTAGGCATTTCGTTCTATTCAATATTTGAAATCAATAGTTACTTTAGTGGCTACTCAATGGTTCCAGACAAAGCGCGTATCTTTCGTTAGAGCTGAACGTGATGGACCTCAGCGAAGGCACTGCGACTCGACTTAGAACTCCTATTCTTTTCTGCGCCTTGCGTCTTCCTAATTCTGCTTCAATCAAGAGTTCCAGCGTCACGGTCCGTGTTCCTTCTTCTACTGAAGCTGGAAGTAACTTCAAGTACCAGAAGTCAACAACTCATTATCACCAGGAGCAGAGCATCGACTCGACCCTGAAAAGCTTGACCAGAGTCTGAATTAATGAAGGTCACTTTTCCTAGACGGATCATAACATTCTAAAAGTGTATTATTAAGAGTGGGATATGCTGGTAAACAGAAGACGGGAGGCAAAAAAGCCACACTCGCTATCTGGACAACCAATGATGAGTCATCGAGTTCCAAGGCTCCACTCGATGCCAAAACGCATACCGTTATCAATCATGGATTCATCTCTAAACGTTGTCATGTCTTGCATCCATTATCTGCATCGAACATGACATCAATAAGGGCACCACCAGTCGTCAAATCAAGTTACACCCAGGTGGACTTAGTTCCGTGGGACCCGGAGTCCCCCGAACATGTCGAACGAATGGTGCAACAACGAATAGCTTGTGGGTGGAAGCACGACCAGGTAGAAATGTGGAAGTCCTGGCAAAGAGATGGCAGATTGGTTCTGCAATGGGTGGTAATATACTCCTCGATATTATGTATTCGGCCCTAAATTCCCCAGGTCCTGTCAGAATCCGATCCCGCAAGGGCAGAAAAGCTGGAGAAACATACTGCTGCATTCCCAAGAGAGAGTGGACCTCTTGTAGACTCCGCAGTAACCCTAGGCGGCGAGCCCAGAGCTCCGAACCTGGAAAAGAGGTTCATTGCCGTCGGACATATTTCCTTGAATAAGGAGTATGAGACGCCTGAGCGTACAGAACCGGCAGAAGGACTGTACTGGATCGCAAATTTTTATATCTCAGCTGCACTTCAATTCATGGGATTGGGGCGGGCGGCAATGGATGCCGTAGAGAGTATGGCGATTTCGGAGCCACTGTGTGTGAAGACTTTGGCTCTTAGCACGGTGGCAAATGAATATGAAGCCAGGGACGAAAGGTGGGCGGCATTGGAGAGAGATCCACCAAAGGTTGGTTTAATGATGAGCATTGGAAGTTTATGTGCTAACATGTGTAGATTCTGAACCAGGATTGGTACGAGAGGAGAGGATATGTGGTTTATAAGAGAAACGAGAAGATGTGGTCTGAGAAGGATTCGAAGGGGAAGGAGTGGTGGTTTCCAGCGGTGTTTATGAAGAAGGACATCAGATAGAATGCGTCGATAAAATGCACCAGGAGAGTAGAGGAGCGACTGCAGGTTAATGAAGCCATGCAATTGAAAGAATTGAACGAACAAGGAGGCGAGGTATACCTAGAGACGCTGACAATGGCAGAGGTCGTACGAAGGTAGGTTTGAGAGTCAATTTTCTACTTCCGCCCGATTATCACACTAGGGAGTTGTACTGGAATAGAGTGGTGCACTAGTAAGATTACAATTGACAATTTCAAACTTCCATTGGTGTTCGAAGATTGATTGGATTGCGGTTAGGCGGCCCGCGATAATGAGATTAGCGAGCAGTACTTCGTAATGAAGATGCAGCACAATTAGAGCTGTGAGTTCGCCAGAAGGACGGACAAGTTCGCTTTGAGCTCTTCGAGGTTTGTGGGAGGACGATTCCATCTTTGCGAAAGCTTTAAACTCGTAGCTGACGTCAAAAATTTGGGTGGATTGCGGGAACCATGTGGTTGAACGCATCAAGTTCCTAGAGAACAATCAGATACGCTCTCTCCCTGATAATTTCCGAGACCTAAAGTTCGATGTCGAGCATTCGAGCGATCAGTTGGGAGCTGTCGAAGACATAGCTCAGAGAGATGTCAAAAGCATGGGTTTGGCACCCAGAGCTGTCCTTGAGATCATTCAAGGGAATGTCAAAGCTGGGAGCGAGCACTCCATGAATAGCCTGAATATGACTTCAAGGTGAAGGGACTCTTACCAGCTGAATGGTAGCGAGCTTCGAAAACTCGGAGGCTGCCAAGGAGGTTGGTGGAGGCAATATGAGGTCGCCGACGACACGGTACACGAGCTCAGGCGACTCCATGTCGTAAATAGATACGATGAGCTCTGAGACGACAAGAGGAGAGCTGGAACCGGGAAGCGTGAGGCTTTTCGATTGTGCATGTCGACACTCACAGAAGTCGCAAAAGTCCCCCGAGATGTTGCACTTTCCACAACTATCGAGCGGCGAGCCCTCACTCCCCGCAACCAGTCGCGACAATTCTGGAAAGAGAAGTAACAGCTATTTGGTTGTCGAATTCAACCATCGTGCTTAGAATAATTTATATGGGTATCAAGGTTGGAAAGCGCCCTGTAAGTAAGACAGAGAGAGACTTGCAAGACGTGCAGCGAGTTTTGAGTCAGTTCCTTCGTCTTCTAAATGAGCTTTCCGATCTGTCTGCACAAAATGAAGGGTTCGAAACTAATTTGAAAGCATTTTCCGTATTTGGCAGTGGTGACACTGCATCTAGCCTTTCACAAGGACGCAAGTCGTCCTGGGGAAGTGTGTACACCAAGCATCGTTGGGGCTGTTTAGCGAGCCAAGAAGCGAGAGCCGGATCCTACTACCAAAAAAACTGACGAAGAAAAAGTGAAATCCACACCGTGCAGCCCGTCATTGAGAATTAAACTCGATGCTGGCGTTCAGGGCGGCCATATTCAAATAAAACTTAATGCCCATTTTGTCACAAAAACGCAAAAGGGAAGAACCAATAGTCGCACTGAGCTGAATAAACTGTTAGACGGAATTTTATTGCTGACCATCACGGATCAACTCACGATCGAACTCAGAACCATCTCGGAACATGTTCAGATATGTGAACGAGATATCATAACCCTGTAGTGTGTTAGAAGAAACTTCTTGTTTCGAAGTGAAGTGTGACTTGCATTAGACCATGCGACTCAACGAAAGTTTCGGGAAAATGCCTTATTTTAATCTATCAAAGGGGTAAGTAAAGTGGCGAGAAAAACGCCAAGAGTCAACGGGAGCACTAATCGTTCGGCGGTTCCCACCTACAATTCGCCTAGCACGCCTTGTAGGTGAGGGATAGCGATACGCACAGAACAGCGATACGCAAATTTTTTACCAAAATCTACTATTATTTGCCTTAAACCCTACGCATCACTCCCATAAATCATGGAAAGTACAGCGCATTTGAGCCTTTACCTTCCAATAGTCCTCTGGAAATAATACCATTATCTGTCAATACTTTTTCCTCTATGGTTTGGCTAATCGGGCGTTCCGCATATTAACTACTTTGACCTCATCCTCATTATCTGCCGCAATATCTGCTCGCCCTTAATATACATAAATCTCTCTATACTTTTGAATGATCCTTCTATTATCCCTATTATTCCTCTTCTCCCTTTCTTGCTCTGCAAGGCTCAAATCGTGGACTCTTTGCTTTGCTAAAGCACCGGATAGTATGGATCGCTCCGCTATACCCTCAACCTTTTCTTATACATGCTTTATAGATAGTATAATTGGTATACTATTTATTACTGCCTCTATTTGCTCCTTTATATATATAATACCCTTTTTTCGTATGCGAATTGTCAATGGCGTGGCCTAATTAGCCTAATTCTCGGCAGGAGGAGGAGTGCGGGGTAGCGGGGTAGCAAATGCGAGAGGAGAGAAGGGAAGAATTAGTAAAGATTATCGAATTGAAGAGGTTAGAGGAGATGGCGTATGAGCTTGTTGTCTTATTTGCTTCTGAAGTTGCTTATATTCCTTCATTTTTGAGAGTACTATTTCTGGTTCGAGAGGAATTAGCCCTGTTTTCTTGAAGGAATTCCGTGCGATTATACGGCTATTGAATATCTTATCCCAAAACCTCTGGAATATCGCAAAAAATGCCTTTTTATCCATTGTCTCTGCACCCATAAAGATCTCTCGATATAATTCGACTTGGAACCAATGCTTTAAAGCTTGGAAAACGGCCATATCAAGAGGTTAGAGAAGGTGAGTGGTGTGTACAGGAAGCTTGAATAGTCATATGCGATGCTTCTAATAATAGTCTAGGAATTCACGACTAATATGAGAGCCGTGGCCATCGAAAATCAAGATATAATATCTGCCGGGTCCAGAAGAGAGACAGAATCTGTCAAAATGCTTAATATAGCATACTCTAAGCCAATAATTAGTAAATCCTGTAGGAGATCGCGCGAAAAGTATATTCTCGTCAAGCTGGTTTTTAAAGTATCCCCGCAAGTAATATGCTCCCTTAAAAATAATTATTACTAGTACCTTAGTTCCTCTATAATTAATCATAGCCACTACTATCACAAGCTCTCGATTCTCTGGATCTATATTATATATAGCTTCGTAATTATGGGAAACGTAGACTTAATCGCCGGTAACGACTCCAATTTGGAACCCACTCTCGTCAAAGTTAGATATATCGCAATCCTCTATATTATATCTTCTCTTGCATCAGTCAAATTCCTGGAAATGCCCCTTGACGTCCTCTACAATATATACAGCTAATCGCTTTGCGGATAAAGGCTTCTCTCGTATCGATTTGAGGAATTCGGCTTGCCGGACCATCCATACTTTGGTCCATCAAATCGATACTGACGAATTGGGATCCCCAGAGCTCCAAAAAAGGAGCCTTCCTGCAGCTGCACGAATCTCGTATATATTAGCCCTACGGCCGGAATATTGGAGCATAAGAATATACTCCTTTAGGGCATCGTCTTGTGGTGCGGAGAGCTTTTTGTTCTGCCCCCCTCGCGAGTGGCTGGGTGGACGCCCACGTCGACGAGCCATTAGACGTTCATATGGGGCCCCAAATTGCTTTGCAGCCTTCGTACCTTTCAGGTAAGGATCATTATCCATTGCATGAGAGGCTTTAGCTATGCGCTCTTCGATTTCATGTAGTTCGGGTGGCATTTTGGTGATTTTGGTGGAGTGATGTGTGGAAGTGGGGTAAAAAATTTGCGTATCGCTGTTCTGTGCGTATCGCTATCCCTCACCTACAAGGCGTGCTAGGCGGATTGTAGGTGGGAACCGCCGAACGATTAGCTGTGTTGGGATGATCCTCGAAAGGGGGGAACGTGAAACAGCTCCTGACGACGACCGCATGAATGGGGGACATGCCAGAAATAGGTAGGGATTAGGTCTTACCAGTAAATCCTTCAAATCATCCAGCGAAGCGTGGTTTTCTGTTGTCAACGTTCAACAATCGCCATCGAAGCTTGAACTCGTGGCCGCTAAATTTGGACGTTTTTGTCTGCGGCTGGAGGGTTTCAGCAGCATCATCACAGCCCGCCGCAGCTTCCCCCAGCAGGAACACCAGCAACCCGAACACCGACCTCGGGCCTCTCCAGCCTCGGAAAACAACTGTTGCTGCTCAACACCATCCGCAATATCAATAACAACCCCCCGAGACCCCATTCCCTCGCTCATTCAGCCGCGATGGCAGGCAGGTTCGTGCGCGCGTCGAAGTATCGTAAGCCTCGTCGTTTCCCCGGGCAAGGCACGAGAGCAGACTGACAGCGGGACAGGACATGTATTCGGGAAGCCGACGAGGAAGGAATCTTGCTACGACAACTTGCACATCAGTCGCAATGCGTGGGATACCAATTTGGTGAAGGTTTGTGCCGCGTGCCTGCTCTTGGGGAAGAGGGCCGAGCTGACGGTGAATCCAGGCAAACCCAGAATACCTCGCCGTCAATTGGGAAGCTAGCGGTGGAGGCGCGTTTGCGGTGATACCAGTCAACGAGAAAGGCAGACTCCCTGAGCAGATCCCTCTCTTCAGAGGGCATACTGGGCCTGTGTTGGACACAGACTGGTGGGTGCAGATGCAGTGGCTCGAAACGTAGCGCTGACTCTATTAGGAACCCCTTCAACGACCGAATTATAGCATCTGGCTCCGACGATGGGAAGGTATTCGTATGGCAGGTGCCTCAAGGGTTCACACTGTATAGCGACGACGAGGAGCCGAATGATGTTGCTCCCGTAAGCAGGTTGACGGGACATTCGAGGTACGTGTGGTAAATCAACCTTGGAGCAGAAACCATCTGACAGTTGGCAGAAAGGTCGGACAAGTCTTATTCAATCCTGCGGCAGAGAACATACTGGCCTCGGCTTCGGGTGACTACACAATCAAGCTCTGGGATATCGGCACGGGCAAGGCACACCTCACATTGAAGCATGGAGACATCGTTCAGAGTTTGTCATGGAGCGCAAACGGTACCATGCTGGCCACTACATCCCGAGATAAGAAGCTGCGTGTATGGGATGTTCGACAGGAGAGAGCAGCACACGAAGCTCCCGGACATACCGGTGCTAAGAACAGTAGAGTTGTATGGATGGGCGAGCATAACCGTTTGGCGACGACTGGTTTCTCGAAGATGAGCGATCGGCAGATGGCATTGTGGGATGCAGGAAGCCTTGCAGAGCCAATCGGTGGATTCACTGTCTTGGACTCAATATCTGGTGTTTGCATGCCGTTCTGGGGTGAGCTCGCTGCGAGAATCCGGTTTGGCGGTGACTGACAGTTTCCAGATGACGGAACACAATGTTTGTACCTGGCCGGAAAGGGGTAGGTCTGCACATCCAGATCATGCTAATTTGGCTAACGAATCAGTGATGGTAATATTCGATACTTTGAGTACGAGAACGACAAATTCGAATTTCTTTCCGAGTATAAATCTGGAGATCCCCAAAGAGGATTGGCCTTCGTTCCAAGACGTGGCATTAACGTGAGTTGGTCAATACCGGTCGTTGGAAGTGGCCTAATATATTCAGGTCCACGAGAACGAGGTTATGAGAGCATACAAGACGGTTAACGACAGCTACATCGAACCTATATCATTTACCGTCCCTCGACGAGCAGAGGTCTTTCAATCTGATATCTATCCTCCAGCAACTGGCCTCAAGCCCGCAGTGTCCGCCGCAGAATGGCTTTCCGGAAAGGATGGTGTTCCAGCAAAGATTGATCTAGAGAGCATATATGAAGGAAACGCACCGAAAGAGGTCCCCGCGGACTACAAGGCCCCAACACCAGCCCCCGCACCATCTCCCGCCAAAACCCTAGCACCGAAGAAAGAAGAGCCCGCACCCATTGCCACGCAAAGAGCTCCGCCTCCCTCCATGTCGGAACAGAAAGGTTCGATTGCTGCAATGGCGTCCAAATTCCAGGACGACGATGGAGCAGATGAGGATGATGATGAGACCTCAAGTTTTGAAGAGATCGCTAAGCCTGTTCAGAAGCACATCCCCGCAGCTGCCAGAGTTGAAGCAAAGCCACCATCTCCTGTCAAGATATCCCCAACGAAAACCTCCCCGCCAAAACCAGAGCCAGTAACTCAGCCTGCACCCCGGTCTCACCAATCACCTGTTACTTCGCCGAGCCCGGCCGCCATTCCTACTTTCCCTTCGTCGGGTAACGGGTCTGTGGAGAGCTCGTTGGAGCAGATCAAGAACTTACTAGAGGCACAAACTAGGACAATCAATGCACAAAGCGAGAAGATTGGAAAACTTGCGCAGGAAGTCGATACATTGAAGATGAAGGTTGGATCTGGGGCGCAGGATCAGAGCGAGCGGATTCGACAGTTGGAGCTGGAGTTGGAGGCTGCGAGATCATGATGGTGGTTTGAACAGGGCAAAGTCACTTATGCCAGGGGCTGGGGTGGGCGATGGGATACCATGCTGCTTGTCTGTGTATGGCGGGATTACTGCATAATTGTGTTGAATAACGAATTGAGCGATTGGGAATCGAGATGCTGTCTCCTTGCCACCCTCCCTTTTCTCTCCAACCCTTCATCCTTGTCGCTATGTCCATCGTTTGCAGTCTTGCACGAAATGTCGCACTCCCGGTTGTTTCTTCAATTCTTTCATATCATATGTTTCAAGTTTCACGCACTAAGACCCTGTCGCATCGAAAGTTCGATGTGCCTGTCAGAGCATGCGGCCTCTCTTGCCGAGGAGGAGGCTCAGCAGTTCGACAAGATGGGGCCATAATAAGAGCTGGCAACTTGGGCCTACAGGGCTCGATTCTCTTAATTTTCACAACAATGCCGCATTTGGCATCAACTTCTGGTGAGAGTAGGCAATGTTCGTATTCGCAATAGCGGACAGGGGAGTACAAATTCCTCGATACGCATTAGCGGGGTACACTTCGGGGGTCTTCATTTTTCCGAGTGCGAGAACACCGGACGTCCGCCGACACCGATTTTGGTTTAAATCGCGCTCTTCCTGCATCATCTCTGTACATCACTGCGAGTTGTATTCGTCCTAGATCACTTTTCACGTGGAAGCCACGCGATCAAGTTTGCACAATGTCACCCTCTGAAGTCCCTCACCAGCAGCCGGGTCAAGTCTCCAACCTCCCTGGGCTCACGACATATATAACCGGCCATGATCCGAAGACCGGGAAAGCCATCGTACAGTCTAAACGCCCGGGAACATGGTCATCCTACGATGACAAGCTCATGGGCTTCAACGTGGCCTACACCACGTCCCAATTCCCAGCCTCGCTGAACGGCGATGCCGACCTCCGCGCCCATGATGCTCTCACCGCCACCAAGAAACTCGGACTCGTCAACCCAGGGGGCACAGTGTGTCGTATCGTGGACTTTGCTCCTGGTTTTGAATGCATGATGCACCGAACGCAGAGTCTGGACTACGGCATTGTGCTAGAAGGCTCGATTGAGCTGGTGCTGGATTCGGGGGAGACGCAAACGATGCATCGAGGAGATGTAGCGGTCCAGAGAGCAACTATGCATGCTTGGCGCAATCCAAGTAACGACGAGTGGGCGAGGATGGTTTTCGTCTTGCAAGACTGCGAGAAAGTGGTGCTTGGGGATACGGAACTGAAGGAGGATCTTGGGAGGGGCGTGGTGGGGCTGCCGTCGAGCGGGAATGACAAGTAGCCAAGTAAATTTGTGTGTTAAACTTGAAGGATTCAGTCAATGGATACGGAAATGTCGATGTTCTGAATCGTTCCCATGCAGGTTCCCGTTCGCATGAAACAACTCGCACGTTTACGGATGAATTGCTTCACGTATGTATGTCAAAAGTCTTACCCTTTCAATGGACCCCGGAGGCGCGAATTCCATAGAATAATATCATTCGGTTTCACCGGATTTAAGGAACATTTCCCATGATATAAAAAGGGTTGAATCGTCAAATGATTGACTATCTTCAAAGGGCGATTCGTTTCAAAAGGGGTATGAAGGAAGGACCAGATTCTCGTTTCACTTACACTTCTCTTTTCAATGGCATGAAGTACTTAAAAGCTGGCATAGTTGACAGTCGATGTTTTTTCCAGCAGAGAAACAAAACCACCAAGCAGGACCCATCCCTACCTCGATTAACAATCTATATATTCATAGTTTGAGGCCAAACACGAATTTAAGTTATAGGAGAAGTGGAAACCATCACCTAGCAGGTACGATCCCATTTTCCTCTTGGCCCTCGTCCTCAAATAACTGACGACCTTCAGCTGGTCGAGATATCATCCCCACCCAGCTGCCCCAACTACACCACCACGAACTGCTCCCAACATATCCAACGTATCCAAGAAGGCAACAACTTCTACAACGGCAGTCATTCCGGAAACTCGCTATGTCATTGTGGAAAACCCAGCCGAGCTGCTGTAACTTCCGCAGGGGCGTGTTACGTTTGTGCTACCGGGGATTGCGACTTCTTTGGTCATTCTGCATAGGCTGGAATAATGTGATCGAGGAACTAGGCTTTGAGAGGCAGGCGAGGTTGAGCTGGACTCGATCTTTCGTTCTTCATTGTAGTGATTTGGTTCTGGCGAGGCTTCTCAGGCCTAGGATCTTTAGGTGAGACGTTTCAGCTACAAAATTGCTCCACACAAACTGTCCTCTTCCCAGATCTTGTTTCTGCGAGCAGGTCCTCAATCTCGCCAAAGAAACTCTCCTTCGAGTTAATATCGGTGACTATGCAGAGTGTCCTAACCATCGTTCCTCTCCCCGCTTAATTCAGGGGCTCTGCTGCGAGACCCGAGTTGGATTTACTACACGAAGCCTTTGAGAAGTGGGAAGACTCCAGCTAGGCCGGCAACAATGGCATATTTTAGTAATCAATTACAATTAATGCTATAATTATAAGGTATCAATTAAATCGATTAATAATCAATTATAAGCAAGCAAATCCCTGCTTATATATCCCCTTTTCTAATTCCAGAAAGTTAAGGAATTTAATAAAATATTATTAAAAGCCTGATTTAGACTTGTCGGAAGCTGGGTTTTAGTTATATATAGTAGACTAGTATAGAAAAATGTTTATATAATAAGTAAAAAGCGCTATTATATAAAACATTTAATTAGTTACTGGAAACTTAAAAAGAAGTTTAGGGAATCTTTTTCTAATATTAAATATCTATTTTTATCTTATTATACTTTTTTTTTTTTTTTTTTAAAAAAAATAATAGAATTAGAGAATTTTCTTCTAAAATTAAAAACTATTATCTTACTTCTAAAAATATTAAAAGAATATATTTTATTATATATTTTTATATTTAAAGGAATTTAAAAAAAAACTATTTTAAAATTATAATATATTTACTAATATAGCCTCTAATATTATTATTAGTATAATTATAATTATAATTTAATTAGTAAACTAGTTTTAATTAGATTTAGTAAATTTAAAAAAAGTATATTAATATTATAATATTATTTTTTTACTTTTAATAATTAAATTACTTTATTAATAAATATAAATAATATTATATATTATTAATAAACTAATATTAATTAATTAGTACTTATAAATTAAAGAAAGATTTAGCTTAATTTTAAAAGTATTTAATAACTTAAAATAAAGCTAATTTATTTTATATTAGAGAAGAAAATTACTTATTAATTTCTTAAAAGTATTTAATAACTTATAAAAAAAATCTAGCTTTTATTAATAAATAAATAAATAATTATTTAGTTATTTAATTATTTTATAAAACTAATTTCTTTATAATATTAAGATTATTTTCTTAATAATTAATTAATTATTTATTATTTTATTTTTAAAACTTTATTTTCTAGAACTTTATTCTTTAAAATACTTTTAAAATACTTTAATTTTAGTTTTAGTTTTAAATTAAATTTTTTAAATTCGAAAACTTTTAAAATTTTCTAAAATTATAGTATTTCAATTTCTTAATTTCTTATTATAAATAAAATATTTATTATAAATTACTTTTCTTTTTTCTTTTATTTTAAATTATATATATATATATTAAGAAGAATTTAATATTAGAAATATTTGAAAAAACTATTAATATTATTTAATAAAAATTAAAAGATTTATTACTTATAAATAAAAATCTTTTTTTATTAAATATATTTAAATTTTTATTTAAATTTATAATAAATTAAAATCTAATTTATATATTTAATTAAAAGACTTTATTAGATTATATAATAAAGGCTTTAGCTTTTATTATATAATATTCTTTCTTTAATTAATAAAGTAATTATATAATATTTAAAAAAAACTTAAATATTTTAAGAAATATAATTTTTGCTTTTGTTTTATTTTAAAGAATTTTATTTAATTAATTAAATTACTAGTTTTTTATATATAAAAGCTTAATTTATAATATTTAGAATTCTTTTTTTTTTGTTTTTATTAATTAGAAATCATATATATATAAAGCTAGAAATAAGAAATATTTAAATTTATATATAAAAAATAAAGCTTAAAATAAATAAATTTAAAAATTATTATAATTTAAATTTTTTTAAATTAGCTAATATAATTACTTAATTAGTATTATTTATATTTTATTACTTATATTTTATTATATTTTATTATTCTTTAATTATATAATAATATATATAATATAATTACTATATTAAAGAAATATATTTAAAATATATTAGAAATATTTAAAAAATAAAGCTTCTTATAAAATATATATATTTCTTTATAGCTTTTTATATTCTAGTTTTCTTTTTCTTAGTCTTAAATCGTTTTTATAAGAAATCTTTTATTTTAATTTTTAAGCCTTAAATATTATATATTATAATAAAATATTAATATATATAGAAATTAATTAATTAATAACTCTTATAGGCAAGAACTAATTATAAAAGTAATTATATTAGCTAATTATATTAAATAATATAATAGATACTTATTATAAAAAGAAATAAATAATATTTTTATTATAATTTATTTTATTATAAAAAGAATAATTATATATAAATATAAAAGAAAAAAAAAACAGAAAAAATTATATTATAAAGTTTATTTTTTTTCTATTTTCTATTACTTTATTTCTTATTTACTAACTTCTTCTTAAATAAACTATTATTACTAAAAAATATAACCTATAAACTAGTTCTTTTTCTTTTTACTTTTATTCTTAAATCTTCTATTACTCAAGCAGGCTTATTTTAATAAGATTTTAAATTATTATTTTTTAATAGATTTAGTAATCTTATTTTTTATAGTTTTTTTTATAGATATCTTTTTCTTATTCTTTTTTACTTTTAATACTAGTATAGATATATTATTACTAGCTTTTAATATTATATATTAAGAACTAATATAATTTTTAAAGCTAGTTAAATTAAACTAGATTTAGAAATATTTCTTATTTATTTATATTAAAAACTATTTTTGAATTTCCTTTATCTTAGTATTATTAAAAATAGAAAGAATTTTAATATTATTATTATAAAAGACTTTTATTATATAATGAATAATATTTAATTAATAAGTCTTTTTAATTCTTATAATAATATTACTAATATTACTTTTCTTTAAACTATATTTATTTTAAATAATCTTAATTAATAGCTTTATATTATAAATAATATAATTATAAAAAGAATTATATTTATATTAGCTCGAATTACTTTTTATAATATATAGCTATTTCTATTAGGTTTAGCTTCTTGTTATAGTATAGGACTCCCTCCCTTAGTACGCCCTATATATACTAATATTACGTATTTAGGGGCTTAGTTTCTAGGTATATTTCACTCTTATATAAGCTCTTAGAAGTACCTAATTTATATTTCTTAGAAAGTATATTTTTACCTATATTACTTCTTTATTTTAGAAATAATTTTCGGAGTTTTAATAATATAATTATAGAAATATCTTAATTATTATTAGTAAAAGTATTAAACTTATATTTCTTTTTAGGGTTTTTATTATTAGTATTTTTATTTATATTCTAGTTATACTTGTTTTTTTTCGGGATTTTTAGGAAAAATAAAATATAGCTTTTACTTATTAATTTTTTTAGATAATTTATTAGAATAATATTTAATTAAAATAAGAATATTATTATTATTATTATTTTCTTTATTATTTACTAGCTCGGCTACTTTAAAAATAGACTTATATATATTAATTTTTTAATATATATTATAAAAATATTTTATTTTTTTCGGGTATTTATTTAGTAATATCTAAATTCTTAAATAGTTTTTAGAATTACTAATAGTATTAAAAAAGTTCTTAAAGTTCTTATTAATAGAAATATTATTCTTTTTAGCTTCTTATAAACTCGGTAATATATTAGTTATAATAATAAAATGCCTTTAATTAATATAAGAGATATTATAGTAATATTAATAATAAGTTATATAATATTTTTCTATATAATATTATAATAATTATTATAGTTATATATATTTTATAATATTTAGTATTAAGGAAATACTTCTTTAGTTATAAAGAAAACAAATATTCTAATTTATATTAATATATAATTATAGAAATATAATAATATTTATAAATATAATTAGTAAAAATAATTATTACTTTATAATTATTATTTAATATTTCTTATTAATTAAGTATATTTTTTATAAGAACTATTTTTAATTATTTTTTATAGTTTATTACTAGTTTTAATATATTATTAAGAATTTTTACTAATTATTAGTTATTATATTTATTTCTTTATTTTATATATTTTACTATTCTTTTATTTATAATATATTTAAGCTTTTAATTTTATTAGTTCTTATTATTATTCTAAATACTTTTTACTAGTTCTTTTCCTTAAATAAATTCTCGTTTATATAAGTTTTTATTTTTTAAAATAGGTTTTAAATAAATAATAAAAATAACGGGATTTATTTTCTATTATTAAAAAAGTTTTAATTTATATATTAATTTTTTAATCTAGTAAAATACTTTAAAGAATTCTATTTATTATTTTATTAGTTTTCTATTTAGATAATCTAGAAAATAATATTTTTTTTATAGTTTTAAATAAATAAGGTCTCTAATATTTATTATAATTAACTTATACTTTAAGTTATAATATTATTTAGTTATATTATTAATAAAGTCTATAGTAATTTATATATTATATTATTATAATTTTCGAATTATATTAGATAATTTATTTTTAATATTATTTATTAGTAAGAATAAATTTATAGCTAAATAAAAGCTATTAATATATTTATTTAGTAATATTTGAATTATAACTATTTAGATATTATTTAAGGCTAATTAAAAGAAAATAATTTCTATAAACTAAAATTAATCTAAATAAAGAAAAATAATATATTATAAACTAATTTCTATAATCTGGTTTTTTCTTTTAGAAATATTATTTATTTATAAATATTATATTATTAATATAAAAGGTTTTATTTTTAAGTAATAAAATATACTTTTTTAAAAATTAGAAACAAATTTATAGTTTTTATTAAAGATTATTTCTTGTAAAATACTTTAATTAAATAATAATTAAAGAATTATATAAATTATAAATTAGTTTTTAATTAAATATATATTATATTCGAAAATAAATAGTATTTTCTTATTTATTTTATAAAATTATATTATTAAATAATTAAAAAAATTAATTAAATTAATTTTCTATAAACTAATTACTAAAATTATTAATAATACTATTATAAAATCTATAATAATAATATAATATAAAACTAAAATTAGTTTAATTAGTTATAATTTATTATATAGATATTTCCTAGATATTTAATTAAATAAATATATAAAATAATAAAAAATATATTTTTTAAATTATTTTTTAAACTAAGAAATATAGAAGTTATTTAGTTTA